CCCCAAACCCCAAAACCCCAAAACCCCAAAACCCCAGTATTAAAAATCGCAGTTGAACAACTGAAGAATTAAGTTAGATAAATTGGAGTTCATCAGACTCTTCATCATTTCATTCAAGCTTCTTTTTGAGCTTCCCGGAGATTTTTTGGGTTAGTGAATAGTGACTCTGATATTCCTGAGAATCTCTGAGTAAATCTGTTTCACATCAGGCTTGAGAGAACTTAAGTGTGAAATATTAGCTTCCTTAGAGTTTTCTGTCGCATTTAAAGAATAGTCTAACTCTTCACTACACATTTTAGAATTCTCAGTAAATAGTCACAACTTATAAACAAAAGTACCGATTCTTTTAGGGGTCATGAGCATCATCCTGATGTCAGTGCATTCCCCAGGGTTAATCTCTTCTCCAGAGTTATATTTATACTTTAAAACTAGGTCCAGATATGTGAAGCTAATATCTGAGTCATCTCATTGAAGCAGCTTGATAAAACGATAGAAATCCATTCCTTATCTCCATTAGTTATTGCTAGGTGTCCGCCCAACAACTTTATCATTGAATTAATCTGACTTTTTCACTTCTGTATTTGTGAGAGAAAACATATTCGATATCTTCTTGAAAATCCCAAGTGGAGAAATAGTGCTTCTCGGCTTTATTAGTTCTCCATCATTTTCGCATTGATCAGTATAAAGAGCTTTTAGCTTTTTGAGATAGTCTAAATAATTATTATGAGAGTCAAATTTAATCATAGGATGGTGTTGGTGACAGCTTCTACTACATTTGAGACATAAATCTAAATCTTCACAGACGATGCATTTAAATCGTGGCCCTTGTAAAGGGAATTGATCTCAGCCATTTCAGTAATACTCTTCATGAATCCCAGCATGCTTCTGATGAAGATCTATTTCAGACTTCTCTTGACTCCCTTGGCTTTTATCATCCTTTAAGCATTCAGGTTTGTTTATTCGAGCTAAACCCTCTAGAGGAACCTTGATTTCTTCCTGTTGGAAATGATCAGAACTATTTTTGTCAGAACTGAAGTTATAAGTGTCCATATGGCTATTATTCTTTCCTTCAGTCAATTGAGTAACTTTTGATTGAATATTCTCACAACCCATAGGAGTCTCTAGGTTCTTCTGTTCTCCCTGCTTGTGAGGAGTGAAGTGACTATTCTTCTTATTCTGTTCTGTGACAGAAAATTTGATACAAGCTTTAGGAGAACTTTCAAAATCTTCAAAAGCTTCCAAGAAATCTTTTTGACAAGTAATACAGCTATTTTTCTTTCCGCTGGCATAACGAATCACAAAATCTTGAGACTCAAGAGTGAAGAGCTGTCAGATGATATCATGCAGTTCATTGTAATCTTTTACTCAGTTCACCTTTCTTGTATCTCCCTTGTAGGAAATTTTAACCTTTATGGGACCTCCAAGTGTTTGAGACATTTATACTAATTATCCAATTTCATCAAAAAATTTTTAATGTTTGGGGTTTTGGGGTTTTGGGGTTTTGGGGTTTTGGGGTTTTGGGG